CTGCATCTCGTGGTATATTTTGTTTTTTTTAAAACAACGTATTAAATAATGCAAAAATGACATGGAAAAAGGAACTTTTTTTTGTCCGAGGGAGAGTATGCTTTCCACTGAAGTAAGTGACATATCCGATTTTCAAACATAAGATATTCAACATGTGAGCCCAAATTTCGGAAGCACAGCTATGGAACGGTCAACAAATTATGTAAAATTGTAGCTTTTCCTCAGCAAAATTACTGGCCGTCTTTTAAATAGATCAAGTTTTTCTTATGATCAACTTTCAATGAAATGTGCATCCAACAAAAAGTTCTTGCGACAAACCATCTCTCGATGAATTGTTTTTGAACAAAAATATACTCACTCTTTGTACGAATTACCATCATCTCCTTTTTCCAATACTCGTCGAATGCTTTCTCTAAGTCATCCCTTTTGTGTTTGGGATCTCCTTGTCCCAGTGATGGTGCATAAGCTTGCAGAAAGTAAATGATTTGCTGCCACATGTGGTGATCGTTTGATCTTATGACAATACCCGGTTCATGAGATTTGATAAAACAATTACTCTCAGCTTGTTGTATGAAACAATCCAGAGCTTTTGATTGTTCTTCTAATTGAGCAGTCATCATTGATACTCGGCTTGTGTTCAAATGCTTTAGTTTATCGTTATCGTACAGTAATTTAATGCCATCCTCTCGACTTAGTCTCCGTTTAATGCATGCTATTATTGATGCGAAATAATCTCTGTTATCATCTAGCTTCTCTAACGGTATTTCTCCAATGATTTTTGGAATTATTACCAAAGATTTATCTGTGTGCCGATAAGTTTTATGTTTGTGCTCTTCTCCAGTATTAAGATTATCAATACGAATCACAATACTCTTGTCTTCACGTATAAAACTCAGACATAGTGCATGTCCCATCCATTTCACGGGTAATGTGTACTCCTCTTTTTCTTTCATACCCTTCAACTTATTTATAATATTATTCACTATCGACGGGTAAAATTGTTCAATCCCTTCATCAGGAATACAAGAAATATCCATCAGTATATTATAAGCTTCTAGACTGTGACGAAGTTCACCTAAGATATATGTATATTGTTCCTTTGATTTAATAAGAGACTTTTTATTTAACCGAAAACGAACTAATTGTTCGAATAAACTACGTACCATAAGTGTGAAAAATGCTTGATGTGTACCACCATCATTCAAGCGTCTATGTGGTAATTGTGCGTTCATGTTAAAGGTAGCTGCTACCATCGTAGCTACTGCGTCAGCCCCGATAGGTAATACATGATCGTACATATTTTTCCTCAAGAAATAACTTGCACAATAATTAAATAACATTTCTTCATCAGTTTGGTTTTCATTAAATAATTTACGACAGTAGTGAATCCGTTCCTCGATCATCTCTTCACTAACCATAGGCCGTTTTTCTAATAGATATTTAAGTATCTCGTCATTCATATTTTCATAATTAACGCATAAAAAATCAATTGAAGTAGAAATAAGACAGGAGTGTTCTAAACCATCTTTTGGCTGTCGTTCTTTAGCGCCAAAATCTAATTGAACGATATTGATATCCGCACCATTTTCCACGAGTAGTTTTGCGAGTTCAAAATTATGTAACTTAATAGAAAGGTACAATGCTGTTCCATTCGAGCTCAAAGCATTTACATTTACACCTTTTGTTAACATTTCTTTAACCAAAGATATGTTTTGTTTCTCGATAGCATCAAAGAAAGATTCTTGCTTGATATTTGACATTTTATAGATACTGGTTCCTGTTTATTAACTTTTATTAGAACTCCAATTGATAGTATACTCGTTGTTGATTGCAACAAGGTGTAACAAAGATTTCAAACTAGTACGATTATTATCTAAAAAAAACAAAAGGTTCTTTTTGAGTAATACAGATATATTTAACTTTGAAAAATAACTGAGCGATAACTAGTCGACGAAATTTAAAGTAAACATACTGTGACGTTCTCACCTAGCAAATCCATAGTCCTGCCATATTACAAACAGAAGGTATGTAACTAAGAGTTTAAAAAAAAAGATTTGTTATAAAACTAAAGAGCACTATCTTATACTAACAAATAATTGACACCGTATGGTTATACAATATATTTGTGTTCATCAATATTTGTACCCGTTCCATAGTTGGTTCCCTTACATATTGTATTATCAAATTTTTAAAGCGCTCGCCATAGTACTCGGTAAAGATTTTTAAATAATTATCATCAGAATTGTCAAACGAAACACTGTAACATGAGCGTTCGGTATGCGTCGAAACATTGCATCTGTTTGATCAATGTCTAATCCACTTAAAGCTACGAGAGTTTACTTGAAATCTATGTCTACGATAACTTGGTTTATGTCAACTTGAAGCACTTCTTGGAACTTGTTGATTAATTCGAATTGGCTTCGAATTAAATTTTCAAGCTGATATTGTAGTCTTGTTAATGAACTTCTCAATTGAGAAAATGTTGGTCGTTCTTGTGCATTCAAACTCAAAGTAGTCAAGATCACGGTCCATGTTTCATCGCTACACGTAATAGGCTTTGATAATGTTTCACCTGAAGTCACAAGTTGGCAAATTTGTATAATTGTCTCAATGCTGGACCATAGTATTGTTGCTTTTGAAAAAGCTTCCCACGTAGTTACACCCATTGAAAAAATGTCTGATTTTTCAGAACATTAATTATGTTGTATTAATTCTGGGAATGCATAACGTATTGGGATACAATCATTTACTGTTGATTCTTTGTTAACTGACACATATATAGAACTATTTCGAGTAAGACCAAAATCAGTTAATTTAACAAGATTATCTTCAGGTCTATATTTATTAAAACGAAATACTAGTATGTTTCTACATGCTAGATCTCCACGAATTACACGGTTGTGCGCAAGATAACTCATCGCATCTGATACTTGTGAAAACATATACATCAGAATTAATTCATCGGGGACTCTTGATTGATCATCAAGTAAGTCATGGAGACTACCTTCAGAAGCAAATTCTTGAAGTAACATAATTGAATCTTGAGGTGTTGGCTCAACCATTCCATATGTTTGTATAAAATGTGGGTGGTGGCTGAGTTGTACGCAAGAGGATGCCTCTCTTTTTGCTCGTACACCGTTTGTTTTCAATAATATTACCGGCGGGGCGTCTCGACGTGTTATCCATTGAGCACGATATATAGACTTAGTACTTACTTGACACATTGGTTTACGTTCTCTTCGTACGTCCACATCTAACGTAAAACGATAGTCTAGCGTGCGTAATGAGTTTTCAAATTCTTCTATTAAACTTCTGATAACATGATTTGGACGCAAACTATTAAGAGACAAATCTTCTCCTGTCTTGGGGCTTGTATGCTTTTCATGGATTCATGCAACAATTGCAGACTGCTCATATGTGTAACCGTCATCAGCAATGACTGGAACAGAAAATAATTGTTGAGTAAGAGGACAAATAAGTGAATTCGAAATCTGGTGGTTCATATAACACCTCAATTTTATGCTATCGATCGACTAAAATTAACACAAACTTAATGAACAATAAATGGAAAATTTAATTTTTGGTGTACGAATTTTTTGTGATAGAGCCCTTGAATCATGAGAAGACTCCTCTTTTAATAAATAATGCAATGGACATATTAGGAGATCCCCTCAAAACATGTATATGTTGAAGTAGTTTCGGGGATTTATTGATCTTTTTAGTGTAGATGCCTATAATGATTTCTAAGCTCAGTGTGAACAATATTTTGCTTCTGCCTTTACACGTAAGTGGCGGATCCAAGTGACTAAAATCTCGAGAAGCAGCTAATTTGAAACAACTGTCTATTAAAGACTGCAATTCTTTGTTAAAAACATATCGTGAGGGTGTGGGTGTGGGTGTGGAGTGTGGGTGTGGCGTGGGGGTTTGTGGGTGTGAGGTGTGGGTGTGGGTGTGTGGGTGTGGGTGTGGGTGTATGGGGTATGGGTGTCGGTGTATGGGGTGTGGGTGTGGGGTGTGGGTGTGGGTGTGAGTATGGATGTGTGGGGTGTGGGTGTGGATGTGGGTGTGGGTGTGGGCGTTAGTAACTATTCAAGAGTGAGTCACACTATCCCCACACCCACACCCACACCTACACCCTCAGGCTCATGCTTGGTCGGTCTTAGGTTCAGCTTCGGCCAGAGTCTAAACGAGTCTAACCGAACCTGAGGTACTTGTACTCGGTACATGAATAGGTGGGATTGGATTTTTGAGCGTAGGTTATTGAATGTGAGTGTTTGGGTATGGTTGCTTGGGTTTGGTTGCAGCTCTCCTGTTAAGCCATACAGCGGCCACAGACATATTTGCATTCACACTGATAGATACCGAGTCCGATGCTCGGTTGATTTTCGGATCGCTGTCGTGCTTTGAATTTAAATTGGATAGAGTTCGTGCTCACTGGTATGTACTGGTCAGCGGACGAGAGTTGCTTGAGTTCACTTTCATCTATAGTATTATAGCTGAGTTTCGTTCGATTGTACCTGTTTGCGTTGGTTGTCAATATCATTATTCGTAAGTTTTTTCGGTGGAAAAGTTTTTATCTTCACTGCTAAGCGTTTCTATGCTACGTTAGGCTTTCACACTCACTGTCAACGGTCCGTTGATTCTTCTCGACAGGCAAACTTTCGAAGCATGAAAGAATCGTCTTGATTCTTTATCTTATGAAATTACCAGTTACATTATTTCGATACTTCGATCTCAATATCGAAAATAACGAAAGAATCATGA